ACCATGTTTTTGAAACAAAACTTGCCCTTTGCTCCCAATTCGTGTTACTCCATCTCCATCTCGACTTCTGCTCGTCGTGACTCAGGCCATTTACTCCACCACCCAAAGTCATTCATGGTCAGCAATGGTTTTCAGGTTAAGTTCATATCAACCGAATGTCTTTGAACAGGTCATACCTCATACACATTGCTCCCTACAAGTTGGGAAACAAACCTATTATCATTATTTCCCAGTGTTTATGACATTGTTCTGTTTTCGCGCAATCCTCACCACCCGCAAACCCCAATCACGCTTCATTCTGCCAGACGGTATGCCACCCACGAGTAGGGAATAAATATTATTATCACTATCATTGCTCTGACTCACCATAATCAAACAAAGTGAAAGACCCTTTCCGACAGAAATTACACACAGGCAACGGTGACATAGGGCTTGCGAGTTATCGCGCCCTGCGGTTTCACTTATAAGAACAGCCTGCTGTTTATGCTGAGTATACAAACTCTGACCACCGCTATCGAATAACTGCCATTGCGAGTGCAACCAGCCGCAGAATACAGGCTGCATTTTCTACTGCTGTATCTGAATTATTGAAAATAAGTTTCCAGTTGCCTTTGAAACCGACGTCATCTGGGGATGGCAACCAAACCTATAGCCTGCAAACAAAACGCAGATAGCTAGGGTCCTTAGGATAAGCTCCCCACAGTCTGCTGTGGATGACAGACTAAACGGTGATTGCTCCCATCCGGAGGGCCCTCAAGGCTGCTTAATATCATAGACACGCGCCACTGCCGGCTCAAATGCTTGGCATCTGAACTTTAGAAAATCTTATTGTCCTGGCTGTTGTGCTACCAGCCGCGCGATTTTCAAGCTTCGGAAAGCGCCGCGGAAGTTGCAGCACCTGCAAAGGAAACAGTCATACATACACCCGCTGATAACCTTTGGTAGCAGCTGATTGTAAGCGGTCAACCATCTCGCATGTATCACAGAACTGCCAAGAACGTCTAGCGTCGATAGAAATTTACCTGAATACTTTTTCTTCTTCAACCAACGAATACCACATAGTCTGAGAAAGGTAGTACCACATCCTTGCGACTTGGTCAACCAACAACATGTCGATTACAAGCAGGCGCTAATAAAACATCATTTTCATAAGACGCCGGGTCATTTTTGTGAAGAATATGCTTGTCGTTAAAGCCACAGGGTTTTAATTAGGGCTCACATAGAAGCCATCAACCGTTTCTACAAGTCTTCTGAAAAGTATGCTAAAACTTGTCTGCATGATCGATGAGCGTTTTGAGACGATCAGGAAAATTTGGTGCACGGTTATTTATGATGTTTCTAATGTGGGACACGCCACTGACCTTCCTGCTCAGCGAACGGACATTTCTGGCGCTGGAACATAAAAAACCCTAGTGTGTTGTAGTGTTGCAGAGTTTATCTCAAACCTGGGGAGTTGCGCTGGTATTTTTGCGTTGCCTAGTGTTAGGCAACAGCGCGTCATACCCTCGGTGAAAATACTGATTTTTTCGTCTAAATTGTAAACAGAGATATGCAGATGACATTCAAAATGCCTACCAATTTCTCCCTGTACTCGATACTATAGTGAAAGTGCAATGAAATATCGGTTGACTTCAGCGGTTTTCATTTGTCTACAACCAAGACTCGCAAAGTCGGTCAACCTCTAATCATTTTGTGGCAAAATTCAAAAGAAAACCAAGAAGAGGCGTATGATCTGTGTTTAGACAAGCTGACATATAGCTGATCAGTTGCATTCTCCACATCGATGACTAGACCAATCTTCAGTTTTAGTGAGAAATACAGTCGTACGATAACCTACATCTTCTCTCAGCCCATTCAACTTAATCTCGCGAAGAGACTTGTGGCACGTCTTTGAATCTTCCGAGCGGGAAAAAATCTATCGTCGGCCTAATGTACAACATGAATGTATACTTGCAACACCGCAAGAGCTTCCAGCATTTGGCCTATCTGATTCAGCGCGAAAAGTTTTGTATAAAACCACGGAAAGTTCCACAAACCTCGCTAAGATAATTTCGCATACCATGGAATGTAGCAATCAGAAGCAAATCGTTTTATTGGTCTTGATGGTGCTCTTCCCCAAAAAAGCTCAGCAAAAAGCTGGGATTTCTGGTTGGACGGTAGCCGGCCGCACAAATTTTCGAGATTGAATGAACATGCTTAAACATCTACGGTGTAAACAACGGTCAATCATCGCGCCTGAAAACATGAAGTCAGGGCGTACGTGTAGCGGAAAGCTAACTGGTCAATTGCAGGTAACTGGGTAGAACTCGCTACTGACGCCCTACGAAGACACGCGAAATCTTGAGCGGAAGTGCAAGCGAATTTCATATTCTCCGAAAAAAAGGTACTAATGCGGACCCCTTCCCGCTCCCTCCGTGTCAGGAAAATATAACATTCTTCGGCCAGTGATATAAAACAGCTATCAGCTAGACCATTTCTCAAGCTTCCTCAAAAATAAATTAAGTACGGTGCGCTGCGATTCTGCGCACAAAGGCAATTTTTGAGGGACAGATAGAAGGAATATGCATCTTGAATTCGACTGCGGTGAGTTGTTGTACGTGCGATCTGCTTTTTCAGTATGTTTGCCCCCCTGAAAAATGCGCAACCCCACTTTTAGCCTCTTGACTAGTTGTAATGGCATAGGGCGGTAGATTGCGTTCCAGTTCAACTCTCTCTGCGGCATTTTGAGTGGGCGCCGGTCAATCGTTTGGTCAGCTGCCGGTGGCAGATGTTTAGATGACATTTGAAGCCATCCTCCTCAACAAGGCCGCATTAGTCAACAGCCTGCCGGAAATTAGCCTTCTTTCTGAGCTAGGAGCAAACCAACGTATACTTAATATACAGCGTCGGGCTTTAACCGAGGTGCTATTTAGCTCCTACACGGACGACAACGGTGACAGTGCACTATCATGTTAGCATGAATACTTTCCTGAGAAGTTAACGTTTGGTAACACCGCCCTCCCTGATCGTTTGTTTACTCCTTAATCCCTTAGCTTCTAAACTGCACCAAATGCATTACCCGCTTTTGTACAATTTTTGACCATAATTCCACTCCACCGAGTGAATCTTATTTGCTTGTACTCAGATACACCAGAGCCAAGATTGTAAAAATATGTGAGCTACGTAGAATAAACAGCAAGAAGCCACTTAATCGGCCGGCATCCACCCAAAAGAAAAGTTTACAGGACTGGCGAAGCGCCGGTAATGAGATTTTCTGAAATGCATTATCTAGAGTGCTTGGTGACTAGTCATAGACGTCAGCAGTTTGAGCGCAACTGGCCAACTCTTTGAGCATTACTGTCTCCAATCCTCACTCCAGCTGTGGTCGCTTCAGTGCCCCTCCTAGATGGCGCTTAGTGTACAATCAATAGGGTAAGCTAAACTAGCCCGAGAATACCCACCGCTCAATGATGATCTCATAATTCCATGATTGCCTAGCTAATGCTAAGGGCACCAGACGCATTCACTTTCCTCGGCTGCTTTAACGGATACGGCCATGCATAGGCGGCTGACAAACCAATATGTGAGGTGGTGATGACGGCACTGTTGCTGCTCTACAGATTCTGATAGCATAGCTGTAGTTGGTCATACGCTCCTCGCGCAACCTCAATGGTCCGAGCACTTCTCTTTTGGAAGACTAAGGGGTGTAGGTGAACGTGCCCTCGGCCTTCAGCTGTGCTATTATTCAGCCCACCGAATATATGCCTCTGTGGGAACTCCCAGACTATCCCGATGCGTCTTGGAAAAGTCTTTCCCATGAACTTGCTTATGGTTCAAAGGAGGCCGGTTTTTCTGTTCAGGCGGAAGATTTTCCCGCCTCAATCACAATATACCGTCCTCAGAACGATTGAGACCATTCGCTCTAACATAGCCTAAGCTGTAAGAAACGCCCATTTATACCTGCTCCGATCAAATCTAATTTGCTCTCCTAAGTTTGAATTCTCTGAACTTGGACATTGCCCAAAATAGTCCGCTCATACCAATGCAGGTGCATTTTTCACGAGTTATAATTTCCTCCTGTATTTCACTAAGGCATTGCCAACCATTGAATTTGGTGCTAATTTTGTGGCAATCCGTCAGTAATAATGTCTACTTCTGAATGAAACCAACTGTTTTGTCCTCTCTATCACCGAAGCCTCGACTGGATTTGAGGCGACATCACACCTCAGATCAACTGAAGTCTCAAATAAATATATATGTATTTAGGCTACCGCAACCGACTCCACTTCAGTTCTGCTGGTGGATTTCAAAATGTCCTTCATCACATCCGAGGAGGACTTTTAGCGTGTGCGTAAAGCAGTGACATACGTGCAGCTTCGTCTGCAATCGGCAGATGGGCTCANACTGTATTCTAGGATAAATGACGGCGCAGGGAATGGGATCAAGCAAGGTTTTTTGCAACTAGTGCACTCAGATGAAGGGCCGGCTAGCGCAACCGACTCCACTTCAGTTCTGGTGGTGTGCGTTAAGTAGTGGCATACGTGCAGCTTCGTCTGCAATCGGCAGATGGGCTCAATGCCTTAGTCTTTTTGGGACAGCTCCTCAGAATTTAGAGGAATACTTACGTAATATGCACGCTATGGCAGCACCAGGGGACAGTGATTTTCCGAGGGCAGGTGTTCACGACAGTTTCTATGGATGGAAAACATAAATAAAGCTCATGAGCCAAAGCCCATTGAGCAAGGTTGTACATCACCAATACTTAAATATAAATCAATCAACCTGACAGACACCGTATACTACACTTACAAATAGAAGAGGCCGCATTGCGAAAATTTGCACCATATTGTGTTACTAAAGTATGTATGTTAGTCACGTTACCCCAACTATTGTGTTGTGCAATAAGCCACTGTATATGTTTTAAATAAACCAATCCAAGCTAATGAGCTGAAGGTCACTCCATTGTGATCGGTTGTTAATGTCATCATCGTCACGGTAACCGCGTGAACGAATTTAAAAGAATGACCTTCCGATCCTATTTTGCACCGTATGCAACAGACTTACCACTTAGTGAATATAAGCTGCCAAGGCTCTCCCCTACATATAGGAATATTGTGGCATATCCCCATACGCACCGCCGCATACCATCTCCTCCTAACGAACGTGACCGACAAGGTTTATTAGAATGGCGTGTTGGGGTTCAGGAATCACTTACGGTCGGACTTGTTGAGAAGATGTCTTTTCTCAAAGAGGAAATGCTAGAGCAGTTGAAGTTCTCCAAGAAACTCGAAAACCAGCAAGAAAATCACAAAGACTTTTTACGTAATGAATTGCAGGCGCTGGCACAGTCAATATCAAAGATGAAGGAAGAAGTTCATGTAAGTTATTTTCCATGTCATTTTTATCGGATTCGATAGTTCACCATGGGTAGCTCGCCTACATAAATGCTACCTGTAACATTGGATCACCAAGGATTCTAGTTCATTATGTTAGGTGTATATTTGGGTCAGAATGGGAGCGCCAATTAGTACGCACATGGTAAAAACACAATGGATGTTGATTCTTCAATAGTAAGACTTCGTAGGGATTCCAATACAGTTTGATTAAGCGTAGATACGCGTCGTTTCATGTTAAAAGGTGCAAATTAGCGAGTGCCGCACACTCATTCGGACAGCTTCGAGGGCGAGCCATGTGTCGTATAATTCATGCTTTCACAGGTTTGCTTTGTTGCTCGATTTAATTCATGCTTTCACAGGTTTGCTTTGTTTGCTCGATTCTTGTCATCATTATCATCATCATCATCATCACCTAAAGCAACAACAGGAGAGAACACTGATGCTTCATCCCCGCACAAATCCGCTAATATTTGGATAAACGATATAAAACACAGGAAAAAGTGCTACAAGGAACGGGGTCTAGTAATATGCTAGCAAAAACCGCCGATGTTTCTACACTCATAAGACTCACTCAGGCAAACTTGATGCAAAATGGCGTCACAGAAGCTTGTGATATCGGCTAGTTGCCATAGTGTTCTGTGTTTCCGACCAGACACAGGTTCATCAGAGATTCTCTTATATTGTAGGAGCGAAGCTATCAACATGCAGTGTGGTTGAAACCATGTCACTAGTCGTGCCAAAAAGAACTGAGGTCACATATAGACTTTCTAGTTCAACACGTATAGTTTCTGTTGTGCCAGGGGTCGCCTTGTGCAAAAAACACACATATCTAGCTAATACCCATCTAGAGTACATCTTTGGGTTCAAGCGGTCCTGCTTAATATGGCTAAAATAGCCCACAAATGTGTTGTCAGAATTTGATGCCGAGAGATATTCTTTAGATAGTGAGTTCTTTGTTTCACTTTGAAGTTTTGTCACCCATTGTTCACTGTCAAGCAACATTGGTAGACCACAGTAAAACTCAGTGGCGGGATTAACTTTTGGTTGTCAAACGAATTACTCAATCATCAGTAGGTGAATGATACTGCTGAAGGGATAAAGCACGACTAATTCAGTTTTCGTGAACTTCAAATGACAGAGGACAAACGCATAGCCGAAATGGGTACCGCACAGTTAGACGAATAGAAGTATTTGAGCTGTAATTAGCTTATCTCTCCTCAACAATGTAAAAATTATTCGTAGTGAAAGCCGTTTTCATGGCTTTTGAGGATGAACGTATTATTTCCATTTTCGCATTTTATTCAGATTGACCCATCCGTCAATGATTATGTAAAAGATTACTAGCTCATCAATAGTTTATTCAACTAAGCTTGCCGTTTATGGGATTTGTATTATGAGTAGAGCCCTATCCTCAAGTATTCTTTAAGGCTAAGTTCAGGAGTAAGTGCTTGCCATATGCTTCAGTTTTGACAAAGGAAAAATAGATATGAAAACTTCTGTGGAATCGTTAAACCTTCAGACAAACTAACTACTATATTATGTTATTGTTGCTATTTTATTTGTAATCTATTTGAGACTTCCTACATAGCCGTGATTTAACCGTAAACAAGAGGAAGAATTTTTCTCTAGACCAGATGTAGCTTCACCAGGTGTGCAGAGTAAAGGTGTTGCTGGAACGCATGGGCAAGCTGCCGGAATAATTTACTTTTACATGCTGTGCTTATAAAATATAAACGAAATTTATAGTTCCTCCACGTGAAATATTTAGTAGTTCACTGCACTTCTGATCTTGTTTCATCACCTCATAATTTAAAAAAATAATTGAACCGCTTGCCTATCATCTAAGTAGTAGCTGCTGCAAACTGTCATGTTAATTAATATTTAATCAACTCTCTGTTTAAGAGACCTTAAAAATTATGCCAAGCTTTTAAATAGAATCAGACAGCTGAAATTGGCATCAAAATACGGCACTTACAGTCGCTGCGGGCTGTTGGGAATAATATTATGTTGTACCATCAAATTCGTTGATTGGCATGATTTAAATCTTTCGGTTTTTTAGGTATACTGACGCCCTGATATTTGTCCTGTTTGCTCCAAAGTGGCCTTTAACTTCCCATGTTTAATATTCTGAAAATTTATGATTGCGCTTCACTTTAGTTACCCCCTATTATTTTCACTAAAACGGTGATATGCTTCGACACACTCCGGAGCACTCTGATAAGACACTGGGTTCAGCACATTAGCGTGCAACCAAAACTGTGGAATTCCGCAGACTTTTTGGGGTGGATAAGCCACATCATTTGTCGACGAAGACATTGGGGAAAATAGAGCATACTCACATGTGCATTGTATGTAAGTAACTCCAACTGCATTTGTATACGGAGGATATCTCTGCCTATTTTGGGAAGTTTGAACAAGCAAAAAACTGAATTTTCGACACCCAAATAGTAGCGAACCTGCAGCTTATGCAAGAAGGCACCACCAGCCTTTGCGGTAAACCTTGCGACAGTCAGTGGTGATTATTTTGGACTTCTTTACAAAAGCAAGGCAACAGTAAAGTTTGTTCGCAGCCCACTGGTGTTTAATCCAAATCTTTTCACGGTTCTTAGCTCTAATTACGTATATTACGTGTTTGTAATAGTCGGATCTTGTGGGTTAAAATTGCATGAGATATTTGAGCAACTTTACTATACCTCGATTGCATGCACTCTTTTAGATAGCAAATCTGGCCTTATAAAGTTAGCTTGCGTAATACGCTGCCATAGGAATGTTTATCTTTGCAGATTTATAAATGACAAACAGAACATCAACACTCGTTCCCACTTTTAGACCACACGTTATGCTTAAGTGTAAAGTGTAGTTACTTCAGTATTGGCTAGAATATCCCGTTGTGATTTGCCAAATCTTGAAGATGTTATCTCAGCTAAAATAATATGAATTACCTATTTCTTATTTTTTCTTACCTTTTTTTCTTACCTTTTTCTTACTTTTGTTTTACTTCTTTAGCTTTGGTTGGCATTTAAACCTTTGTTGTAGACATAGTATCCACATTGTGGGCATTGCTTTTAACCCACTACTGATGAGTATACTACTTAACTTGGCTGAAAACTGACGGTTTGTGTAAAAGTTGACATATGTCAATTTTATTTTCATTGTTTTACTTTGAATGACTAATGTAGTCTAGAAAGCACTCTTAACGAGTGTTAGTTGGTGTTTTGTTAACGATTATTTTCTTCATTAAATATCATGACAAATTTGGTTATATTCACTTGTTTGTAAAGTTACGTTAACTGTTGCTAACAAACTCATCCCGAATTTATTCTTGTTTGAACTCGTGGTCTTTTGAAAATAACTGTCATGCACAGAATATTTTTCTAAGATTAATCGAGAAGGCTAGTGGTGGACGATTTGACGGGAGTCATTTTTGTGAGAGATTTAAGGTTGAGGTTATCAACAGTCTAATGGTGGTGAATCTCAAACCTGTGATTCAAGATGGGGTTTTTGATTAAAATACCTGTAAGCAAATGATCTCAAAGGAATTGAGATTTACTTGTCCAGTTGCATTAAAAATGTGTCTTAATGATGTTAATGCGCTCTTTTTCTAAAAAGAACAGTTCAATAAAGTTTAAATAGTGGTGTAATGAAGTCAGCGGAGTGCTTCATAATAGACTATTCCAAAAGGAAAAAATGTTGGTTAAGTTCACCTTTGCAACGCCAGCGCTGAAATCTTCAAGGACAAATCTTACTTTGCACTGATGAATTTTCACGGAAATTGTGGGATTGCTTTGTAGTATTCGTTTACATCTGATTATTAGTCGATGAGTATTCAGGAAAGTTCGGGAAAATAAAGTAAAATGAAATAAATTCAAAGCTAATTTTAAATCCGGTCTGAATACTGTGTTCATTAAGAACGACAGCAATGACACAAAAAATATTCCTTTTCTGTTCAACAGGCTGTAGCATCGTTTTTAGTTGATGCGTGTACTGATGATTTGAAAGGCTGCTTATTTTCCAGGATCATCATAATAACAGGTTGCAGTATATTTCCTGAAACGATTATTGATGTGACTTTTCACACACTCACATACTTAGCATCCAAACTGCATAACCACTCACCTTGAACCAATTCTCTCCCAAAACTGAGATCATTGATAACCTGGCATGGATTTAGTGCCAGCACAGCAGGCTCACTACAAACCTTTCTAGTTTTATCGGTGGATTGTCATCACAGTTTGTTAGAACGTTTGTTTTGAAGTGTAGAGTAAACTACAAACTGGTGGCCCTAAGCAATCATCTTAAGGCTGATAAGCCATAAAACAAATTCAGACTATGTGAGCGAAACGTTTAGTTTCTAGGATCGCCTTTCAGTCATTTTCAGCATTAGTACTAAGCAAATAAAGGGAGCTTAAGTGAGCTTACCTTAAAAAATTGTGGTTTCTTCATACGCTTTATTCTGGCTACGCCTGTTTACTCAAGTGAGTTTTAAAAATGTGGTTTTAACGGCCTGTTTCCTGCAAGATTTACCTCTGTTCTTCATCCAACTTTGTGGGCAGGCTCCATATAATCAGATAAGGTCTATATTCTTTGCCACCAAATGCTTTTGGGCTTGGCTGAACGTGAATGCTTTCCGTGAAAGTACTTTGTGGAGCCACCCACTTTCGGAAGGACACCTTATAAACAGGATGTTATTTTAAGACAAGCGCACCGCGTCTCAGAAGCCAGTGGCTATACGGCTGTGTATACGATTACTTTTACCAGGATTTTGAAGAAAATGTGCGGGACAAATGGCAAACGGTTAATTCTGCTGCGATAACCTTACGTAATTTGGAAAACCATCACACTACCAGCCTGGCCGACGTGCGGTGAGTGTGCCTACAAGGTTGGTTTTCTTAGTGAGCATTTGTTTTCTCGTAGTATGCCACGCAATACGATAAGCACTAATGTCAGATTAGCAAAACTCTAACGCATAGTCTATCCACAGACAATCCACTTGTCTTGCCTTGTTTTAAATCGGGATCTTTGCGGCCGAAAACCGTTTGTATTTGTACCCAGGTGAGTTTGTATTTAAAACGGGGGATTTGTCTACCAGGTTTCCTCAATAGATTTGTTTTGATCGGTCAAAATCTCTCAGATGTGATACATTCAAACTTGAGAATTCCATAAACCCTTCCAAGTTTCCCTACCATTCTCCAAGGCGAAGCTCTCTTGCCATAAAACTTTGCTTTGCTTTTTGTTGCAAGATGAGTAAGCCGTAAGTTAAACGCATCAACCAGAGGGTACACTGCGCTTACCGAAAGCTTCATAAGTTTGGACTTTCAAACTATCGACCTACATTCAACATAAAATCTTGTAATCCTTACCCATCCAAACATCATATGTTGACTGTTGGGAAGCATAAGTGGGGCCTGTTACTGATGGCGGATGAAAAGCAGGCTAGTCCACGATGTCAAACCAGTGTGGGTCACTGAACCTTTGTTAATGAGGCTTTATTGCAGCGATATCTCTGACTGACATGTGTGCTCCAATCAACTTTAGATCAAGTGACTTCCTCACTAAAAGCCACACTGGCTCTCAGCAGCAAAATTTCTCAATTGTACACTAGCTGACACAGTGCTTTGTAGACCATTATTTATGTCTTAAAGTGAAAACTTCAAACTCTGCACGTCAAAAGTGAAAATGTACGACAGAGTCATCGAACCGGTTTGTTTAGGGCTGGAGCGACAGGTAAACAATTTTAAACTACGAGTTGAGCGTGGTTCGTAAAGTGATGCCAAACTGTAGGACGGAGTGAACCCGTTCAGTTTTGGCATGGAAAAGCAGTTATTTCAGAGATTTCCAAGAGTTACTTCCGTTTTGACCGTTGGGAGCATTTTGACTCTTCATTCGAGCAGGATAGACAAAGTTATATATAAGAGGAATAATAATGTACTGGCAGCTTCAACTTTTTTTCACATCGGTAACTTTTGCTACGCTCTTATATTTAACAGGGTGCACATATGACGCAAAGTAGATGTGCCAAAAAGTGAACAGCTCAAGTTTGCAGGTAAAGTTGCACAGATCATCGTCGGTTTGTCCGCAAAGCTTGTTGCCAATGTTCTACCGAGGGTCACAAGCAAATAAGCCATAGGAGCACAATCACTGAAGCACTACTACTGTTTGCCTCACTAAGGCACATGGATGATGTTACCTTAATCGTGGGCGCAAGGTTTGCATCGAATTTTCCCAACTTAGGAAACGAAATAACGGCTATCTAATCGCAGTTTATCCAGATACCCTGTGGTAATATTTAGCTTCAGCTGTAAGCGATTTGACACATGTTTGTTTCCCAAAGTTTAGGCTACAAACTGTGGTTTCATCAGCCATCATACACTTTAACTTTCGGGATGATTTATAGCATACGGTTTTGGTCGATCTTGACATGTAGCAAACCTATTGAAATACCTGTGGGAGGCTTTGAAGTAGGTGTACCGCACCGGTTTGTCTCCACTTTCAAATAACAACCAAAGTATCTGGACGCTCTTTCAAGGCTTTGCTTTTTATTTTTTGTCCCGTTAGGAGTCGAATCACCAGAAGCGATCAGGCAATCAATTTATTATCACAAAAAATCGCACAACTGGGTGAAGAGCTTCGGGCGATGAATGAGTCACACAGACGCGATATACAGGAAGTCCACGGGATGATGAAGGCAAATGAGCAAAAGGTATTTTACCGGTTTATTTACTTCTATATAATCCCTGACTATATGATTACAGACGTGGTGCACAGCGCAACGCAAAGCAACATTTTACGCTAACGGACAAATTAGCTTTGGTTTTTTGTCCATGTGTTTCGTTCTTTAGCTAAAGGCAAGGTAGGTGTATATAATTGGATGGGTAATATTCACATACCCCCTCTATGAGTGTTACATAGGTTCTATGAGAATTTTTAGACCCGTTTTTTTCACAAATCCGCATGACAAAATCTGTGTAAGCTCAGAGTATCTGCCAAAACTGGTAGCGAACGCAACGAGTGTCACGCGCGCTATCATCGTTGTTTATTCAACATACCTAGCTGGCTAGTTGAGGAACGACGGGTAAATATCTCGAACGATATATAAAAAAACCTTTACCAGCGCATTGTCTTTTGCCTTCTGTTCGTCGTTCACTCATAATGTTTTTGTGCACCAGTGAAGCGGTCCCAACTTTCATGAGGATGACGCTGATTGATTCAAACAGAATAGGTTACATGAAAATAAGAAAGGGTAAAAGGCGCATTCAATGATTATTCTCAGAGAAAAACAACCAAACTACTTGAGTTCCCTTTTAGGTTACGATAACAAGCGGTGTGCGTCGATTCGTATTATATATGGTGATGATCGGGTTAGATCCGTACTGGGTACGTTCCAGAGATGATGGAATGCTGCTCCTAGCCGAAGGTTTTGCTTGACAACAGTTCTTAAATGACTGACTGATACCACCACGTTTCTTCTGGCTGCGAACACCATAGAAATGCGGAAGCTTTAAACACGGTGTATTACGTCACATGCGATCAATCCAGAGCTTCCACCTCATTTTCCTTGTAAACTTTTGCAAACGTGCTATAACAAGTGAATCGTCGCTGAATATCGCGGCCAAGAACACTTGTGACTGGTTTATTGCCCTTGGAAGAGCCATTGGGTTGCGACAATTTTCCTCAAAGTTGTCATGAATTAGGCATGGCTGGTTCTGTAACTAGATATTTAGTTCTCATATTTGATTATGAGAATCATGTATTTATTATAAACACATAGTCCAGGATGGGTTAAGAAATGTTACTGTAAAGTGTTCCTTTTTTCGGTGGCTAAATCAGATGGTGGCAATGTTCCACAACGNTGCTGTCCATTTTTAAGACAGAAAATATCATCTGAGCTCAACCGGAAACCTCCGGAATTGTTTGCTTGGTACTTTATTATTTCTAACTTATCAAAAGCGCGATATCGGAATGTCATAAATATGGGACTAACTTAACTTCTGTCGGCAACATTTTATTTCGCAAATAACTACCTCCAAACATGTAATAAACGGTCGCTTCTTTTAGCACCAAGGGGTGACCATGTATAAAAAATTGTATGCACTTTAGTGCATTCTACCTGAATGGAAGTCACTGGGTGGTATACATTTACAGCACAGCTGTTTCACTAACTCAGTTCCGATGAATTGTTTATTACTACGGTCTTTGATGTCTTATATAAACTTTCAGATGGCTTTGGGGAAAGAAGACCTCACTGGGATATGGAACTTGCTACGGGTATCCTGAATTAAAACGTATTCGTTGTCTTATGCTAACAGCCCAGTTTGTTGTGGCCTATGAGCAATGTTCAACATCTGTCCTCTTTTCGCACCATCATCAACCATTTATTTGAAGGGTTACAAGTTATGTCCTCTTGCTTCTTAACAATGGTTGTTTGGTGCTGTTGCCATGACAGTTTTGCATTGTCTATCACCTGGCCAAATATTCTCTTGAGAAATGGTTGTCAAAAATAATTGAAGGTTGGTTTCTACCATAAAAGAGAGAAAATTTCATCAACTGATCGTATAATCGAAAAATTGCGCATATTCTAGTTAGTTTCCTTTTAATCTACATTCATTTATTAGAAAAGAAGCCAAATAAGTCTGGCTGTTGGCAAAGTTTTATCTCAACTTTCCGCAGTGCATTTCCAGTTACTCACACAGCATACGTTATCGGATAGTCAACGATCCAAAGATGTAAAATAGACGATGGTGCTTGTCTTGGACCGAAAACTATTTTGTGCTGTGGTTGAAGAACACCGTTTATGAAGGTTTTCCTTAATCTGCTGCACACCTTTTGAAGTGATTGCTGGGCAGTTCACAATGTGTGGCTGCTAAGTTTAGTAATGAAGGTAGAAGACTAGCCAACGAGGGCACAAAACTTCAGTTGTCTTCTACCTCGGAAGACAACAAACAATGCGTATTTGTCTATTGTAATCTATCAAAATCGTCATGGGTTATTTGCGAATTTTAAGCAATTAGGCATGTATCAAAGTCCTCTATAACAAGTCGCAACACATATATTCTGTCCAATTCAAGCAATTCTACGTCTACAGATAGACGGAAAATAGAAGTTTGTGGAGTTTCAAGTTCTTCACTTATCCGAATGCTCACAAAACACGCTTAGAAATATCCCAGTTCTTGGTGGATCACAAATTGTCACTTCAAAGTTGACTGAATGGTTTTCTACTCTAAACATCACATTAGGAGAAAAGGGTCTTTGACAGCAGGCTTTTCATCGAGAGTCTTCATCCTAAGTGGTTAAGTAAGGTAAAGTGTGTGAAAAAGAGAGCTTGGACAAAGTGGTTTTTTGAGATACCAGATGTGTATTAGAACGGCATGCAGGTCTGTCTAGCTCCACCAACTTATTCGATATTCGAGGGAGGTGAGACATCTCGGGACAATCGGGCACCATTCGTTCGCGGTTCTGGATGGCAGATTTTGTTACTCAAAATACTGCAACCTGTCCACAATGTCTGTCCATCAAAGATAACGTAAAGGGCCAAGGAAGAACTATTCCTTCGAAGTAGGCCCTAGGACGCTTTTAGAAGACGGTGAAAAGGAATAAAAACAATTGGGAAAGAAACAAGGTAGGCTAACTGGTCAGTACAGCAATAAATATCGTTCTCACGAACCACATTTTTCATAGGTACTAAGAAAATTTGGAGATTCCAGTAGATTTCCTCCGAGAAGTCAAGTAAATTCAAGCTGATAACACGCGAGGAATGATGTGTCTACCCGGTTGTTGTGAACTGCGCTTGTAGAGTGGACCTTTTGAATTTGAGTCCCAACATGCTAACATTCACATACTAGTGGCTAATTGAGCATGAGATTGAATGGCACTTAGAAAGGATACAATGCTCTCGGTGCTGTTCAGTGGGAGAGTTGTCATCACGTGACCTGGTATCAAACTGACTCTTAATCGGTACCTTTCCAGAGGAAGACCAATGTGATGACATCTTGTTTAAGGGATTGTGAGCAGCTACACGTAGCGGAACACAGTACCCCAAAAAAAGGTACGGTACTTTTTGGCTTTTTACCATCCACTTATTCTGAACATAGTTGAGCACATTTTGAACAGTATGTTTCACGGACATGCCTCACTGAAAAAATCTCTCAATATTTCTCACACACAAACGTATTTGTGCCTTTTAAGCTGTGTTAGATCCATGTGTCATGTCTCCAAACGCCAAATGCACAGAGATGTTGTCATCTTAGATAGATAACAATGGAAAATGTGGCAGGCCAAATTATTTTTACCTCCCGTTTCTTTGAAGAGTGGTGATCTCAATATCGAAGTTGATAGAACCTTCCAGCGCTTAACGCAGACTATTCAGCGTACCCAGGAAGATCTCCAAAAACAGATACTTGATCTGGAGCGTAGGTTACTGCAACAAATTGCTGATACACAAAGGGAGATCCACGCCTATGTATCCAACTCACTGGGCGAGAGAAACCAATTGGAGTCAAGGGTGATGGAAAGTCTGAATGAAATGTTCAACGAGGTAGAACAGCGCGTGGTGAGTTATAAGCATCGACGTTTAATTCGTTTCGAACAACGATCAAAGCATGACCGCCGACTAAATGGAAACTTGTTTTTTTTGTTTCATAAGGGTAGACACAACCTACTCTGTGCAGAAGGACCATTCTCAGGAAAAGTCAGAACTCAAACGAAACACTTTTTTGGTTTCTGATAGTAGGTTTCAATAGCAAGGCCGCCGAGAGAAGATCCAAGTAACAAGGGCATTTTATTTAACCTCGTTGAGTTTGTTATGGTATGAGGTCGATATACAAAAAACTATGATTTACGAGTTTCATGTCGGAAATTTAAAAACACCGGGTATGTTGTGCTACGGTGCGTTTTATGACAAAGCAAGTCTTTCCATAAGCTGTTGAGTTACGGCACGGAAGCAGTCCCCACTTATAGTACTTGGCAGTGCGACAGTGCTCAGTGGTTTAGGCACGAACTTACTGACCGGAAAGCCCGTGGTTCAAGCCAGATGTCTGCATCTCGTCTGCTCCTGTCTAAGTTCGGGAAACCTGGCAGCATCATTGTCCTCGTGCTTCCTTGTCTTCGTATGGCAGTTATGCAGCGGAACGGTATTGAATTTAGACGGTTAGTATTATTACTACTGCTATCATGATTAGTCGCTAGGGACAAGGGAGGTATTGGATGAAAAGCGAATGAAAATCGAAACCTACTCGATTAGACAATGTGCATTTGAATGCAACTTCGCCTTTTGACCGTTTTCATCTTGCATGGAAAGCACGAGCAGTGGAGTTTAAATTTAAGTTATTTGGTACAGCAGTGGGATATTAGTCCCATCTTCACGGACTGCGTGTGGTACGTAAGCATTTAACCAACCGATCGTGTGGCTATTTAGAGACTTTCAATGGTTCCCCGTGGGCCATCACTGTACCTTTATTTCTTTCTTCTCTTTTGAAGGAAAGTAACTTTGACTTTTGTAGATTAATCAAATCAGAGGTGCGCAAAATGGAATTTTCTGCGTCTGCTTTAGTTGACTTGGTGTAAAGAGCCTATCGCCTTATCGGCTCTTCTCTTCTGTTGTCACCTCATAAATCAAGACAACATCGGGACAAGGGCACTCAGTATTCTGTAGTATGTCATCCGAACCAAGAGCAAATCTTGTAGATCCATATTTAAAAAAAAAACACTCGAAGTGAATCTGTTGCATCACCTTCATATAGGTCTACTTCCTACGAGTTTTCTCAGACTACTGATATACTATGTGATTGTTATATCTGTAATTAACCATCGGAAACCTCTTATTATGTATAGAGCTTAGCCGAGCAGAGGGCCGAAGAAGCCAGAGTGGATGAAGAACTTGAGGCCAGGGTGAACGACTATGAAAAAGAAATGACCACATTCAGACAACAAGTATTGAATACCTTCAAGGTGAGTCTAGCAGCCACTTGTTGATGCTTGAATGCTGTCAACTTGTGGTCGGTATAATGCTGAATGATGGCTTGTGTTTCGTTAGTATGATTTTTGAAGAGCTTTATGCGTTAGCGCACTCAACACGTTTCGAATTTGAATGGCTCTCTTGATACCAAATTCGGTTGTATTTACTCCGCTAACAGTTCAATGTAGTCGATACCAGACGTAGTGAAAAGGCTACAATCGAACTGCATTCGCTTTTTCAGTCATTTGCAATGTTTTTCCTGGAATGAGTGATCATATCTACAGGGTTTAACTTCTGATATGTATGTGGACAGAACAGCCGTGTTGCCTCTGGGCAAACTGAAAATATTGCACAATAGGCTTTCAAACGGGCAAACCCTGGTTGGGTTATCCTTTGTCTGTTTGGTGGGTCACCGAAAAGTAAGGTTCAAAAGACAGGAGAGCGAACAAATAATTAAGGCCGACTGCCATCGTCCTGCGTCTTTTTTGGAGGAGGTTATGCAACCACAATTGCATAACATGGCCTGTTTTGCGCTTTCCCCTCTAACCACCTTTCATGCGCAAGTTCATCGGTGCAATTTATGCCCTTTCGTTTCCGGGAATTCTTGTCCTGTTCCGAACAAGCCTTGTCATCGCCGTCTATGCAGCCCATCGCGCGTCATGTTCTCTATGCCAAGTACGTGCGTATTGTAACCAGTTACTGACTACTTAAATTTTGGATAGTAGACGCTGTTTAATATATTACGCACACTTGACCTACCAGGTTCGTTCTCGTCGGGGGAGATAAAACTGTGTTTTAATCATTCCACACAGGAAGTTGAAATGCGCATGAATCGGCTATCGGATGAGCTATACGAAAACCACCGTGGCCTAGTTGATGCCGTCCGGGAAGAGATGCGGCAGGGGTTTTGCACAACTCACGACACCATCTCAAACATGAAGTCAGTTCTTGAGAGCAAGATTCGTATTTCTGAGGAGAATTTGCAGTTGGAACTTGGGCAGCTGCGCAAGCTTGTTGTATTGACATAAGTGCACCAAGAACTGTGACAAACCGGTCTTTATTGCTTCAATCCCCTTATCGGATTCGGAGACAGCTCTTTTTCAAGCACTGATTGGCCTACATACTGCTGATATTTTTTTGCATCCCTTCTTTCCCAGTGTGATTATGATATGTATTTCACTAACCTTTTTCATAACATCGATAACAACCAATTTGCATGATTTCGGTGACTTTACTGTGCCTAAAATGGTGGATGATTTAAATCGACTTCAAGATATAATGCCACCAAACCCAAAATTACGAGGTCAAATTTAGTGTGCAAATATTAGGGGATTCGTCAAAATATCATTGAACGGAACATCGTGCAGGAATCTACAATCACCGCGAACGCTTCAGCATTAATGTTACAAAACCTACTTAATTTTCGCATCCGGAACATGAAGCCTCCTAATAGAACCAAGTATATTCCTGAGTGTGCTAGGAAAAAATGCGTACCTAAACTGAATTTATAAAAGGTAAAACTTTGCGTTTTGCATAGGAATAAATCTTTCGTAACTGGATGTTTCATGGTATTCCATCATCTTTAAGTCAGGAAACGGGTGTCCGTTCATATACGCACTTGTCTGTAAGGGATCCATCGTGTCTACGCAAGACATAATACAGATTTTGCGACAGCGGGACCAAGTTCCAGATTCCTATTGCTATGTAACGTGCCAGTTCATCCGATGAGAGCTATTCAAAATCTTCATTCGAACACTGCGTACAGTTTGAATGAATCATAAGGCTATTTCAATTGAAGTTCCTACAGGTCAACTTTTGGTATCAGGTCCGGTCCGCTGATCAGTAGTGATATCTCATGAAGCATCCATGGGTAGGGGGCTCACGCTTATGCGACGTAATTTCTGCACAATTTGGTTGGTTACACTTGTAACAGACCCTACGACACAGAATTTATGGGCATACTGTAACTGAAATCGTGTACGGTGTGTCTAGTTAGTAGCGTTATTCGCGTCTCTCTCTTTGTGTTTTGTGTTGCACTGAAACCTCTATGCCGAAAAAGCAGGACACTCGTCCGCCAAAAGTGTGTATGCAATTGTCATTACGTCACCGACTGATTCAACACTGCATTCGTCGGCGGTAACTGAGCCACACAATCTTACTAGTGAATAATTCAGCCGGCTAGAGTAACTACAGGTTGTTCACGCTTGTCCTCTGGTGATGGGCTCATCCTGATTCGCAGCGGTTTTCACTGTGACTATCTGAAGTGCCTAGATCCGGCCGGGCACGCAAATTACACATTTAGGTCATCCCAGACGAATGCGTAATCAATAATCAAAAACTTGCGTTTAGTATACATGATATACGTATTGAAAACTACTGAGAACTATTGGGAACTATTGAGATCTTTTACAAAATCTCTTCCAATCGCCAGTGTCCTAGTGGATTCCTTGGTGTTAGCAAATACAACGACCTCAGCTTTTCCTCATTCCCTAGCCATAGTCAGCCAGAGAAACAAAAATTTGGAAGCGGGGTAAAGTGAGAGGGGTAGAAGAAATTGTGGAGTTTCAGGCGGCTAGTACAGTGGTAGAAAGTATTATCCAGCAGCAATCGAAATTGAGATTCTTCCGAGCCCGAAAGGTTCCCAGATGGCAGTTAAACTATCAGTCCGCCGTAAGTAGCTTTTTTCCGAAGTTCATATCAAAGTTTCCAAACTAACCATCCCATATGGAGCAACAACATATATTGTCACGTAGCAGTCCATTATTTTGACGTTAACTATACAGTGTTATAGTCCAGCTGCTGTTGGAAATGGCTTAAAGGTCGACTGCTGTCCTGTTGCAGAGGATTTCATGTTACAACAAATCCAGTGGGGAAAAATGTAGTTTTACGTAAGAAATAAGTATTTCCCGGGAAAATGGTGTACACTCCGTGTGAATTATTAGAACTGAAAATGTTTTGGTATGGAGCAAGGACTAGAGATCGAAAACTCTGGGATGCAAAAGTTTAATCGACGCTGGTCCCAAATACATGACATCCAATGGCTGAGGAGAGCAGAACAACCGTTTCTGCAGACGAAAGTTGAGAGAGCGAACGGTGACAAACTGGGAGACGTTTCCTCGTGTTCTACAACTCACAGTGCTGTTAATTCCCATTATGGGGTTGATCTTCCCAAGTTTTCCACATTTTAATCTAATTTCATCTCACCTCCACCGGAGTTTCGCAGCTAGGCGTTGATTCCTAGTACCAAGTGTGACTAAACAGCTCGAGGAAACAGCTAAATAAAAATGAAAAAAAAACTGTGGAAGCTCCTTGTCACCATTCTTACTTGGACCGAGTATCTAGCCTTAGAATCATTCGTGCCATTTATTATTTGCTCCGCGGCAGCTTGATGCACACCTGCTGAGTCCTCATCAACAACGCATTCATTGATGTTTTACGATTTCCCAAAATGCTGTTGTCTGGTAGCCCCTGTCTGTGGAACATCTTTCAGCACTCTCTGTATCTGACCATCAGTAACTCCGACGCACTGCAAGAGTCTGATAGAAACATCAGATTAGTTTTACTGAGTTGTATCAGATGGTTTTCACGAGAGGCATCGAACCCTTGATAGATCAGCTGACCACACTCCATAGATTACTCTGGTTAGGCCAGAGAGTCATTTGCCTCATACAGCTCCTTTTTCCCAGTCACGTGGCGTTTAGTCTGGAATCTGACACTAGAGCATAAAAGTCCAGACCAGTTAATTCAGTCGCGTTGTTAACTACCAGCTTCTCAAATGGGGACTGGGGGGGGGGGGGGTGACGGAACTGGTTGTAAGAAGCCCTGACGGATGAGCTAAAGTGAGGCAGTCGATGGTGACTCTGCATCAGGCCTATAGTCTTCACTGGCTGAAAAACCAACCGGCTGTCACCCAAATCACCGATCAATTCAGTCAAGACCCGCAGTCGTCCGTAGAGGGCCCGCGCCCCGGGAAACTTCCTCCCATCCACAGAACCATCCTTTTGAAGCAGCCTCGGAGAAGAGTTGTTTTGTGCCAAATCTTCATAAAAATCATCCTCAAGAAATGGCGATATTCATTTTAAACCTTTCTAAGCCGCCCATTCCTCACGAAGCTTTAACGTATAAGGAGTGAAACTGGCTACCATTACTATTGGCTTAATTATCCGGTAGTGCAGCGCCCGAAGTTTTGTTTTGTAGTTACTGGGTTGCGGGTGCAGTCTTATATAGGGTTTCTTTCCTTTGGTTCGTTCTGTGTAGGCCCGAAGTTTTGTTTTGTAGTTACTGGGTTGCGGGTGCAGTCTTATATAGGGTTTCTTTCCTTTGGTTACGTTCTGTGTAGTAATAAGTAAGTTATAATCGCCATCGCACCCGGTGTGGAACAGCAGAAACTTTCGAACTTATGAGCCTTTGGCTTACCGGTTTCATGCTCACTTAGTTGACGTTATAAACGTATAAGACAATCCACCCACTGACAAGGGTGACATTTGCTATCAGGAAAACGTAATAACGAGCGCACTCAGAGAAGTAGGTCGATTGAGATGGAGTGAACTAAGCGGACTTCTGCGAATGGCTTGGTGAGATGCCCAGAAAGTTCTTTCTTTTAGCCACTGTTTTATATTTGAGACCGTACCTCAAATGAGACCGCGGGCAACATGAAAAGCGTGACATTTTGATCTGAAGGCCACCACAGAACAAACTCAAGCCATATGGTTAATAAGTCCAAGATCCGCGGTTTTTTACTGTGCATTGATACAGTGATTTCTATCCCAATGAGGCGAAGTTTTTTGTGTTCAGTGTCCCAGCATTCTCGTAATATTCCGAATGTAAGAGAAAGCAGGCCGTTTGGTAAAGGTTCGCCAGCCAAAAGATGTTCATACGCTGAATAACTCGCAAGCATTTATGTCTTACAGGCTGGGCTTAACTGTAGGTTACGGGTTTACGATTACAAGAGCTTTCCTATACTCGTGCGCAAAAAGTGTTTGAAGTTCGAATTAGCGTCAGTTTGATCCATTTCGTCTGCACTTTCGAAGACTTGACACTGATATGTTTTCAGACAAATTTAACCAAGTAAAAAGGTGATAACTTTAAGAAAAAGGTCTCGTATTTGTCTAAAATGTTTACCTAAATGTTGGTTTACCTGATTACCCGATTTGGCTAGGTGTCATTCAACTGCCACTTATCATATATGCGCCAGCTAATGAAACTACAAGCGGGAAGCCGAATATTTCTTCACTCAAGATGCGGAATGAAGGTCCATGAGACATACGGCAGATAAGAAACCCATATAGCCCTTTACACCGATTTTCTATAGCAGTGTTTTGCGATACTGAACGAAGGAGCACGAGGCAAAGCTCATTGCAAGTGACTGGCAATTTACCGGTCAGCAGAATAGGTGAATGACAGACTCATCGCTAAAATTACAGCAGCAGGTGAACAACAACTGAACTGCAAGTTGGGAATGAGGTTGAAAAGGTTGTCGAACATTAGGAGGGAGTGAATATACTGGATGTTGATGAGGTGGGTTACTCACCTCTGTATTCATCATTACCACTTCCAAGGAGAGCCGATTTCCGGGAGCTCTCCAAAAGCTACTCTCGTTTTGACTCACTGGATGGTTTCTGACCCTTCATTTACGCTCGCGTATAAATGAGAAGTCTGCATAGTTGTTTCGCTCATTAGGGTAGTAAAGAAATACTTTTCGGAAGGGTTCTTGCTGCGAACCTGTACTTTCTATCTCCTATCTCCACCAATCCCAAAGCACGCAGACGTGATTCATCCGGGGGAATTAGGAGTCTTCAGGTTAATTTCTTACATGTGACTTATGATGCTTTTAAGTATTAGGAAACTTTCACAGTCACGAAAAAGATACTGTTTTTCCACACTTAGGACTCATAGAACTGTTTTTCTTCCGTGCTAGATCGTAGCAGTTGTGTCTATTGAAAGGTTCTGAAGACAACAACATATTGAGATACGTCCGGATTCTGGTTAATTTAACTCACGAGGTTTCCGAATATCTCGTTCTGAGGGAGTGATGTGTGATCAACAGAATAGATGAACCTGATTATCAACGTCGTTTTTGAGCTACAAGAGTTGCGTAACATACCTGACTGTTGAACAGGAAAAACAACACTAATGGAAGCAGCGATTTCACGCTTTGATGAAGGACAAGTTAGAAAAATCACATTCAGAAGTTCATTAGCATCTGTTTACTCCAAAATCTGACCAAAAGGGTTGTAGTACATGTCCTCTTGTTCATTCTCTAGAACTTCCAAGGGATTCTCAGTGACGGTGTGCAACCCATGGTGGTGGTTGTGCGGTACTGAGGCAAGAGGGGAACCTGTGGAAAGGGAAGTGGAAAAGTGTACAGGGTTTTTGTGAGTTTAAGTGGAGGTGTGATGATGTAGAAGGCTCCGCGGGGAAAACAGAGAAAAGAGCGGATCTATGTAAGGTGTGAGTGATGTTCATGGGAGTTAGTCTCGTTACTAACTCCTTATTTAGTATTTAAGATATGGCCAGAAGAGATTATGTGAAGCTGAAAAGAGTGGCCACGAAGGAAACCCTGGTCGCGGAATTGGATATAATGAGCAACAATAAAGAGGCGGAGTGACGGTTCTATGTCTGGGACAGGTAGTGACCCGACAGCTCACTTGGTATTCATGCAGGATTGGTTGCAGCGCACTTCATTAGAACCGCATCGAGCCGGTAGCAATTTCTTTCAGACAGTGTTTATGAGGAATATGCCATCGGAGCTTAGCAGACAATTAAGTTAGACGAGACTTATCCGCAGATTCACTCTTGATGGTTTGTATGACAAGGGAAATTTCGGTATGCCGACGGCTGATATACAACGTGAGGGGGTAAACTTTCGAAAGATCACAGAAGAAAAGGGGAACATGAAGATGAAAACCAGTTCAGCTACAGTTCACATTATTGAGGTGACGAACTCCGCCAGCTAATAGCTTGTTATCACACATTTTGCGAGCGTTTGGAACATCTCCTTCAGAGATATCTATGACAGACTGATAAAATCCTGGTAAATAGTTTTTCATGGACTTATTTTGTTTGATAGTGTTTCAGAGCTTTTAGACAACTTCCCAACAAACTGTCTAAATTCAGTTTATAAGCCTAACATTCAGGTTATGATTTCGTTGAACTGGTTACGCTTCCCCACACACACAGTCAATGTGGTGAACTAGTTAACGAAAGTTTAACATGGACTGCCGCGTGGAACCGCTTCACGTAGTCAACTGATCTAAATACAACGATACTACCTACCGAAACTATCTTTGTTCCCATCATTTCAAGCAGTATGAAGGATTGGAAGTCAAAAAATCTAACAAACTGCCGAAGAGACAATGTTTTTCTTTGAGGACTGCATGAGTTTGAGGCGGATGCGTTCCCGCGTCTTGTGGGCTATTCAAACTGGTGAGACTGTTATCAGTTGCGAAGCATTTCTTTCAGAGGAAGATCTCATTCAGTAGTGTTACTTTATGCATAAAAAACTACCGCATATAACGCTTGGCAAGCGGATTACTCACGCAAAGGAAGGACAGTGATGCCCTGCACACCCGAGACTGTATCCCATCTCTTGCTGCATTTTATGTCACACATTGCCCAGCGATCAGCCTCAATTTCAGGATATTCCATTCAAAAGTGTATTCGAAATGACAGGAAAATAGTAATAATATTTATTCGGTGTTCAGTGCCTGAAAACAGAATCTGTTTATGCTGTCCTACTGGTAGGATCTCCCATATATATATATATATATATATATATATCAGAGACACTGATGCTTCACTGCTGAGCAATAGTTAATCTAATCGTATTCAAAGCCTAAGAGTGAAAAGAGAGTGGGTGAGTGAGGGGCCCAGTGGTTGCTTATGTCAATCATTTTGGGGATGCCTACACCTCCAATCAGTCAGTCAGACAACTTCGAAAGAAACTGACAGTAAGAACACCACTGACGTCAACCAATGGCCATTTCTTGCATATCTCTAGGCAGACGCAGGCGTGTTCACGGCAACCCCATTCTGGAAAGCGTACAGCACCAACAACGATCAAGCTCTTCTATTGGTGGACTTTTTATTGGGGTGATTCGGGGAAGAGTTATGGGTTAAAGGCAATAAAGGTAACAGCCTAAACGCTTGTACCCCGTTGAGTGTTGGACTGGGCCATGTCTGACAATGTCTCTAACTTTCAGTTGGTAGCTATCCGCATCGAATCCCAAAATCATCATCAAACGAAACTTGAAGCTATAAACTCTGTACCTCTTAAAGCTAATGATATATTTATATATATAATACAGGGCAATCAACTTCCATTTTTCCCTATGAACCTCAAAACCGTTAAAATTCCTGGCTCGCATATAAACAGTAGAAAAATACAACTTCTCACTGGTTTTCCAGGAAGCCGACCATCACAGGCTAAGACCCCATGTTTACTTTCATCACCTAAAGCTTAATTGGATTGAGGCGAGAAGGCTTCTACCAAAATATTCAAACAGGGATTTTTTTTCTTGCGATTCGTCCATCACAGGCTAAGACCCCATGTTTACTTTCATCACCTAAAGCTTAATTGGATTGAGGCGAGAAGGCTTCTACCAAAATATTCAAACAGGGTTTTTTTCTGTGCGATTCCTCATTGCCGAGCTCTTGGAAATATCAATAAAACCTGTTGTCCAATGCCGACTACTTTAGAGTTACCTTTTCCTCAAATTTCGGGGATCACAAGTTTCAGCAGTAAAACTGTTTTTCAAACTGCTATTCGATTTACTCAGTTGGCTGAAAAATGCGGAACCGTAAAAAACGGACTAACTGAACCTAGAAGACTGCTGCCTTTGAAGGCAACACTTTTTGCGCGAGGTTGGGGAACTACCAGAATTATCTCAAGCCTTATCCATAATCAAATGCAAACACGTGTTTCAGACCCTTTCGACAAAATTATGAATGCAATATTTTCCTAATGCAGCTGAAAATGTTTTGAACTAGCATCGGTCGACAGAATAAACAGTTGGTTTCTTTCGTTTCTAAGTTCCAATTGCACGAGGAAACCAGAAATCCTGAATTTATCCTAAACACAGGTGAATTAGTTAGTTATACCTATCCTGGAACACTGCAAGTTGAGAAGCATGGTCTCGACTGAATGGATAGCAATCATGCCCAAAAATGTTTTAAAAAAACAGTCGGGAACAACGGCTGTAGGAGTTTGCGAAATTGCGTCCTCTCACTTCCCCCTAAAAGAGACCACAGTTACGGCGGTCTTGATCACATGCGATCGAGTAGTTGGACGCTGTTGCAGAAGCGTGTTAACCCAATTCCCAATTTGAGAGGTTACTGAAAACGGTCATGATTTTGCAGACCACGTGTAACCGACCTTACAACAAACGCTCAGCCGTTTGGGTGTTTGAAATGCTGTTCTCATAAATTCCAATAGAAACTGTTCTCCCTTCGTTTCTATGTGCCTGCATTGGTCAGGGAATCTGAGGAGGTATTTAGCCAAACTTATGATTAGCTTTTGCTTGAAAAATGTACTGTGGTATCAAATATCGTACCGTTTGCAACTTTAGGTGACCTCTATGCAGCATATTCAGCTGAAGAATATCATAAACGAATGATCCAGCTGAGATCCAGTTCACTCCATGGTTAAAATCAAATTGCTTTGCACATGGGTGTACTTTGCGAAGCATTTGGCTACATTCGGAATTCTGTCTTGGTGCGAATCTCCACTCCGAAATGAATTTAAGCTGCAATTTCCAGAAAAGCGGAAAAAGCACCATCTTCGCAACTCAACTAGCACCTTTCTCCGCTACTGTGATGAGCTGAATTGGTGCTGTCGGCATCCAGTGGCTGTGAGGCTAACCACAAGAATACAGCGGCAGGTGGAATGTGTGAGTTAATCGGTCGGTTCAAGAATGACAACGTAGCTTATCACCCTTTGGAAGGCACCATACCTTTCCATCACCTCATTTATGGTGAAGAAGCAGGCTCCATTTCTTCGAATGATGTGGTACCTAAGCGTGGAACCAAACTAGGGAGCAGCTAAAAACAACTAGACGGGTGCTTAGCATGGAAAAATGCTTCGTTTAGGACATCGAAATGAGTGCTTTTGAAGCTAATGGGTCTCAGAAAGTCACTTAAATTCTGGAAGCCAGTTTCTGCGTAGTTGACGCAATTGTACCTGTTGAACATGGATGTAGTTACAGAGCGGACGACTTATTGGTAGGGAGTGGTGAAGGACGATAAGTTAAACACTCCGGAGTCCCACTACATGTGGTCTACATGCGTGAACCAGAATCTTTTCTTGTCATTAGAGGACAACCTAAAGAGGTGACTGAAACCTACTGAAACCTATACCTGATTCTAATTTCCCGAATTTGATGGGCTCATGTTGGTTCAGTCTCGTATGCAAGGACTTCAGTTAACGATGGGGGAAATCAGTCAGTCTGAAATGGCCGTCAAAGATACACAAGTGCTCCAGTAAATTCACTCAAGTTTGACGGTTTTACTTGAGTGTTGGCAACTACTTCATTTTCTGGAAACGGTCAAACGATTTTACTCCAGAAACTTAGCGTAAACTGAGTACATAACCCACCAACTCGTGCACCACATTTATTTTAACTGGTACCTGCGAATGTTAAATGATGGTGTTTACGATCTATGACATGTGCCCTAGACTTTAGTAATATGTTAGCTGAGAAGTAGAATTACAGAAAAAGTCCTCGTTCTTTTGGAGATCTCAATACCTGCTCAACAGTTTCTCTAACGACCACAGGGTTGAACGATCTGACGGGGTTCCAACTCTTCCTGTGCTATGCAGACCACCTGCCTGGTGTCGGATTTAACCTCAAGCTTTGAATCAAACAATCGCCAGTTATGGCTAATGAATTAACCTAAATATGCAACTCTCATTCTGGGTTGTAAATTTATGGTTTTTAAATTCCAGTGTTGTCTAACTCGGAAAAATCAAATCACATCTCACCTGTTTTAGGGTCGATACTCTGGAGGCAATTTTGATTTTTGGGATCATCCAGTTGGGCAGCATCCTCCATTGGTACAGAGTACATCATGTAAAAATTGCACATTTCATCATTTCTGGTATGTCTAGAATAGGTGCAACACCACAAAGAACAGGTTAGTCCGGTGAGAAAAAATTGTGCAGATTTTTTGTGAAAAGTGATAGAAGCGCGTCAGTTCAGTTAAAAGCTAATAGTAAGCAGTTACGAAAGTCACCCTGATTACTGAAGTTCTTGAAATCGCTACCAGGTTTGGTGCGTATGTAAGTAGACCAAATGTCAGTCCAGATCACACAGATCACACAAATCTTGGGATGTCTGACGCTCATGAGAGGGTTATTCTAACCGGGATGTCAAGTTATTCCCTTCTCTTTCAAAGATCGGGAGAGTGCCCAGTGCCATACGGTCTGCACATTCATGGCTCTTGGAAAACCAGGGGCAATATCATCGTTCTAGGTATCCAAGTGTGGAAGGCCATCGCGTAAATGGCGTAAAACCATGATATTTGCTTTAAATAACAAACGAGAAGAAGGGCAGTTCCAGACTGCCAGTTTTGTACTCTCAGGCGTCGTTCGCAGTGGACAGTGGTTCAAGAAATTCAGGAGATTTCAGAGCTTCTGTTACATATGCCACTAAATATATCCTACAGTGGAACAAAAAGCGTACTCGTTCGCTGACCTACCCAATATAACGTCATTTTTGCCTGTCTGAGAAAAATGTTTCTTGGAGATTTGCCAAAACACTGGAGCTACCTACTTCCTCTGCTCTTAGTAGTAGTTGCATGTGCTGAACTGCATCGAATGATTGGTCCAGGCTTCAACTATGAAAAGCATGGTCGTTATAACAATCAGCATAATTACCGATCTACTGAGGACACCGAATTCAAAGAAGAAATCCATATTTTTGCCAAAAAGTGGTAAATAAGCGTGGTTTTGACTGTTTGTCATCTGATGAGCTCATCTGTATGTTCACGTGTTGCGGAGCTGCCTTACATTCACGGGAGCGGTACGTATGGACTGTAGAGAACTTCAGACTGCCGTTGTGCGTTGATCCGGCTACAGATTTTTATCAGTGGATACTTCTGCCAGCGATCTGTTCAGTCAGAAAATATCAGCCCACGATATTTACAACCCTTTCGTTACTTCCATTATGGACAAAGTAGTAGGTTTCTCGTAAGGTTGCTGAAAATTCTTCCACAGTCCACGACCGGTTTCGCCCTTCTTGGGGCTCATCAGGCGGACGAAGTCCCCGAGCTTCCGTCAACCTTATGTTCCACTTGAAACGGAATTGCACGAAATTCGCAAAATACACTCGGTTGCAAATAAATTTGGGAAGTTTCCCTGGAAATTTTATAGCGAAAATGAAGCCAGTTCATGGTGAAAAACTGAGAAACAATGTATAGGGCGCGAACTCAATGACCGAAAGGTCCGTGGTTCGAACCCGACATCTGCATCTCGACTGCTTCTGTCTAAGCTTCGACAACCTGCCTATAGAGAAACCCTATAGAGTTTTGAACTTGAAACCTTCCGGCTAATAGTCTGAACAATTAACGGTGTGAGTGAATAAAAGTAGTGACTCACCGCTCCTGACCAAACAAGCGCTCAAGCTACTAAGACGGCGGGTTCAGGACTCCCTAGGGTTTCATGAAATGCACACTACTGTGGATTGCCAATACGAACGAAACAGCTGTACAGTGCCTTTTTCGCTTTTCAGCACGGATTGGCTCCAATTACAGGATCAAATCTGAAGTAAAATCGCCAAACCTCCATACAACACCAATATTCTATGAGCAGCCTAGAGTAAGAATTTAATTGACTCGTTTCGTGGAACTTCCATATGATGGGTCATTAACTGAGGGACCTGTCAACACGAATGACTACGCGATGTAGATCCCATGAGTGAAGGATGGGTTGTACTGTATTCTGTTTAGTTGAGATCTAATCACACTACTGATCAGCAGCTCGTGGCCAAACGGCTGTCTTCAACCACCGGTCAGAAGGTAGCGGATTTGAAACTCTCTGAGTTTCGATGCACTCTCTGAGTAAGATGCGTACTTCTGAAGATTTCCAATAAGGATGGAACAGCTGTACCGTGTTTAACCAGGTTTTATCGTAGATTGGATTCAACTAAAGGACGAAATCACTACTAAAGGATGAACGTTCTGGGTGGATCGATCATCCTGGCAAGAATAATGGTGGACACGAATGTCGTGACAAGGAAACAAGTGGCAGTCGATGGAGTGTGTAAGTGACGGGAGATATCATCGTGTCTTCAGCCTAGATTCACTAAATCAAAATATTCAACTCACCCCATGCGAATTTCTCTGTCTTCATTGTTCATGAACAAGCAGCTGGCTTCCTTTGAAAGAGGAACCAATGGTGAACCGAGTTGTTATTCGAACTTACCAATTTGTCACCTGGTTGGACTTCTAGTGATTTGTTCAGAACAGGGTAGAAAGTCTGTGTAGGAAAAAAACAGGTGAGCGGCATGCAGCTAAACAGGCAAATGAGTAAGTTATTGGGCGTACTGAGTAAGCAGTTAGCTAAATGTTTCGTCAAGACAAACATGCGTACCTACCTGAGGTTCCTGGGGTGACTTTGTGCCAATTAGGTGCTTCACTCCATGGTGAATGACGTATGCGGTATTCAAAAGACCTGATGAAAACAAGAAGCAACGGATAAGTAATGCAGTGGGATTATATTTACCAGGACGCTGATGAGCGTTGTGGTTTTCCTTAGACTCAGTGTTCCCTCAAGTCTCCCCGTGCTTCTACCACGGAATGATGAACGGCATATTCGATAAGTTTGTGTGACAGGAAAAAGTGTTAATTGTAGAACAAACTTACCTATGAGATTCATCCCTACTGTCAAACATTTGCAGTGCGTGTTTTGAAAAACCTGATAGAGGTCTCTGGAACAATGGTTGAAACATCAGGCACTCAGCTAAGGAGTGTCCAACAACCACTTTTAAGTAGCTTAGTTCTGCTACGCAGATGTATCGTCGTCGTCACTGGCAACAATATACCGGTGGCAAATAATGGTGATTAATGACCATAAGATGAACGTACCGGCCTCACCTGACCAGAGAGGGATGACGGGAAACCGCAGCTGGATAGTCCATCTAGGAAGTAGAGTTAGGCACTCCACTTGTGGCATGTACTATACTGTATGTTTTCTATCCAAGTGCAAAAATAATCACTCGAACCTTAACTAGGTAGGGCCCAATATTTGGTTTGACAATAGCTGTCTTCAGTTTTTGCAACCAAGTCAGGGACTCTCGTCCACGAGCCTTCCGCAAACAACAGTTCCGTGGATAAAACAATGCTTCCTTATGTAGACGCAGCTGGACATACGTTTTACATGTCCCAGCCACTTAGGCCTGATGAACTCAGCAGATTTGGTGAGTAAAAATCACCACCAAGTACTCCCTTACACACCAATTTATTATGAACATTTATTGTGAACACTGCTGTACCACAACGGTTACGATGGCTGAAAGTTTCCCTGATTGGATCGGCCCAGTTTTAGAACACCAGAGTACGACTGCTTTTACAGTTGTCTCTGCTCGTATGGGTCTCTGGCATCAGAAACTGTTCCCATAAACAAATCGATCAGCAAACTCAAGTAACTCTCCGTGAAATTGCAGAAGGACACGAGGGGCCAAAAATATCGAAGCAATAATTTGAACTTTGAATGTGGAAAATACATGCTTAAACAAAGGATCACTCCGTGAAGTTCCGTGAATTGTAGAATGTGAAGGGCATCGGGTAATGGGATATTGTAACCCGGAATCTATTGGTCCTTCAGTATCGATACCACGATCCTTGCTCCCCGGAAGTGCACATTCCATGTTAATATCGATGACCAAACTGAACAGAATTGGGTACAGGACACGCCTGAACTCTATCAGTCGTAAGAAGATGCTCAGGCATTTAGTTGCAAACGGTTTCGTGTGCATGTGATGGGCGCGGTTTCAGTATCCACTGACAGATGCAAAGCTTCTGTCTTTGCAGGTAGAAAAGCATCTTCGTGTACATTTGTAAGCTGAGGAGTAATGAATGACTGGCCATGGGGTCTGGAAAGTGTATGTATTCCAACATAAGTTTATACAACCTAGCTAAAGTGGAACATAGAACAGCTCTGAACTATGAAACTCATTTGGTGTGGCCGTTCTATAATGCTTCAACACAAAGGCCCAGTACTGCTTCATAAAGTGAAAGAAGATAGCGACTCACACACCGCGTTTGCAGTCGAGTGATTTTACTGGCTGGTTGAAACGAATCCCCTGCATTCCCGGTTACACTAAAATTCATTAATTTTTGAAGCCTTTTGGTTCCACCGCGAAACCCCCCCCCCCCCCCCACCACTGAGCGTATCACACTCTT